GACACTATATGGGTGCTTCGGAACAAGCGAGATGATTCGGGTGTAATTGTAAGAAATAAGGCGAGATTGGTTGTCCTTGGGTTCACACAAGTAGAGGGTCTTGATTATACATAAGTTTTTGCTCCCGTCGCGCGCTTGGAGGATATCCGTATCTTCCTCGCTTATGCTTCTCTCATGAACTTCACTGTATACCAAATGGACGTCAAGACAACTTTCTTTTATGGCGAGGTGAAGGAGGAGATTTATGTTGACCAACCTCCTGGGTTTGTTAACTCCAAACTTTCTAATCATGTCTATAAGTTAGACAAGGCTTTGTATGGATTGCATCACGCTCCCAGAGCCTAGTATGCTACACTCACACATCACTTGCTTGACAATGGCTACTCCTACGACATCATTGATCATACTCTATTCATCAAGCATGTCGGTTCAGACCAAATTCTTATCCAAATATACATGGATGATATCATCTTCAGGTCAACGAGTCCTTAGCTTTGCAAAAAATTCGAGGACATCATGAAAAAGCAGTTCAAAATGAGTTCATTGGGGGAGATGACCACATTTTTGGGGCTTCAGGTCAAACAGTGTTCAACCGAGATCCTTATTTATCAAGACAAATATGTGAATGATATGCTCGAGAAGTTCGGGTTGAGAGACGCTAAAACTGCTAACTCCTGATCTTGAAGGCGAATCCGTAGATAAACATACTACCGATCGATGATTGGATCACTGATGTATTTGACCGTGAGTTGCCCAGACATTACGTTTGTGGTCTGTCAGTGAGCGCTACCAGGCTAATCCTAAACTGTCTCATCTTTCTACTGTTAGAAGGATTTTTCGGTATATAAAAGGCAACCCGAAATTGGGTCTTTGGTATCCGAAAAATTCTGAATTTGACCTTTATGCTTTTACAGACAGTAATTATGGTGGTTGCGAGCTTGACAGGAAATCGACTTCAGGCAGATGTCAATTTCTTGGAGATAGGCTGGTGTCTTGGCATACAAGAAGCATCATACTGTTTCAACCTCAATAACAGAAGAAAAATATGTAGTTGCGTCTACTTGCTGTTCTCAAGTCATATGGATCCAACATTAGCTGTTGCATTATGGTTTGATTGTTCAAGAAACCCCTATATTCTGTGACAATGAGTCTGCGATCCAAATTGCTAAAAATCTGGTCTAGCACTCATAATCGACTCATTCGGATAGAACAGGTTCACTCTGATAATAATATAGCGGATCTGTTCACCAAGTCGTTTAACAAAGCTCGATTCGATGTGCTGGTCAACTTTTTGAAAATGATTCGTTTTGAGGGTTAATTTTTGTTTAGGTTAATTTAAATTTGCTTATTTTATTTTTATTCTCTTCCATGCACAAATTTAGGGGGAGAAATAAAAAAATTCAAACAAAAATTAAAAATTAAAAAAAATTAAGCAATTAGAAAAACAGAAAAATCAAAAATATGTACGTATAATGATGTGTTAGGATGTGATATCAAAAGGTGATAACCGGCAATTTGGATCTGTGTAAGGTACCAAAGCTGAATTGTCTAGGATCTGTGTTCGATGCGTTGGTAGGCACGAAGAATTTAATGGTCTTGACTACGCAAAGATGAACTTAATAAATCAAATGACTTAACAACTCTTGACCTACATAGATAAGTTTAGCCTGACAACTCGATGCTTGGATAGGTTGAGCAGGGAGATATACTTGAGAATCCACCAGTCACATTAAGAGAACCCGTATCTAGAACTATGGTTTAACTTTTCCTCGATGTACGGATTATGTCGTTAGTTCCAATATTGATAGGGCGACTGGGGAATTATGATAAAGTAGGTTTGTAGAGTTTTTTTTCTTTCTTACTGTTAGTCATATGTTGCTTCCTCTAAGTGATTGGAAGAGATCCGACCTGGACTGCAACATATGCAAATCTATTTCTCTGCATCTTATATCTATGAAATTCTTTCTATCTGTTAGCCATATGCTCTCACCTTTGTGTGATTAACAATCCGACCTGGGACACAACATATGCAACCTTCTATATCTCAATACCTCTAAAAAACTATAATTAATCATAATCTAAATCTATCCTCTCTATTCATAATAGTATGATCACCTAAAGTAAGGAGTATCTCGGATGTTCTTTATTATTGGGGTATATCAGGAAGAGGGAAACATGTTCTAGTACATCTAAAATTGAACAATTCTAGATTGTCTGTAGATCTCGCTACTCAGTTTAGGTGGACAACAATATCCTTGGTTGTCATCAGATGAATGGTCCTTAGGAAGTTTTATCTAGGAACATAGGATCAATTTGTATTGTCACTTATAGCATGTACAAATTTTGTCACGATTTTTCGTGCTTAAGTGGACCACAATACTGACGATAGACCAAATTTATTCATGAAAGGGGAGGTACTGATAAATTGATAACGATTGTCTAATAACTTTGATCCCACATCACAAAAGATTAGTCAATTTCAAGTTAGAGGACTAAATTTAGTTTAGAATTAAATGTTTTGTTTCCTTTTATTTTATTTTATTTCATTTAATTTAATCCTCAAAATAATTTATTTTTTAATATTTATTTTCAGCATTGGGCTTGTCATTTTAATGACAAAATGAAGCCCAAGTGAAGGATATATAAAGGGAGTGTGGTTTCTTAGTCACTGTTTAACTTTTTGAGAATCAATCGCACACCCTTTCATCTTCTCTCTCTCTCTCTCAAAAAACATCCAAATCCATTAATTTTTACTGAAGTTGAAGCTTGATAACTGTAAGATCTACTAAATCGACACCCATAATATGTTTTTTTATGCAAAATCGATCATGAAATGGTGGTTAATCGAAGGTTTATTTCCGACTGTGTACCGTGTGCGGCTGCACACCCCCTATGTGCGGCTGGTGATGTGTGCGGCTGCATACATCCTCATGTGCGGCTGGACATAAAAAAATCGGATATTATATGGCTATACACTGTGTGCGGCTGCACACTCTGTGTGTGGCTGTATAGTGGTGTATGGCTGTATACCCAAGATTAATAAATTTCTTTAAAAATATCTTATTATTAAATGCTCTAATGAGTACTTGTGTTTTTCAGGTCAACATGGAGATCTTGAATTTGCAAAGGTGCATAATTTAGCCATTTTTCTAGAAGATCCTCTGGCTACTCACAATGATCTCAAATTCATCATTGATGGTTTAAGAATATGCTGCGTGGTTTCTGCTATCATGACTTATCCGGTGATTTATAAAAGCTTGATCAAGGATTTTTGGAGAAGCGCAATTGTTGAGACATATGACAATGAAGAGAAGTATCTCGAGGCAACTTTTCAGGGAAAGAAGATACTAATCACAAAACATATCATTCGAGAATCGCTGCACATCAATGACAGACCTGAATTCTCCATGGAAATTGATCCGGAACAAACCCAATAAGTCTTGGACCATATGGGTTATGAAGGATCATTTTCCTTTTACCATCAAGAAACTACTACCTGGTTGCTGGAAGTACTTGGCTCATGTGTTTGTGAGCTATATTTCCGGGAGGAGATCAGGTCCCAATGAGATTTCTCTCTTGAACACAGGAGCTATTGCAGCCCTGGCATCAGGGATTGAATTCAATTTTTCAAAATTTATTTTGCATGAATTGATTCTCAATATTGAAGGAAACAAGAGGGAAAAGTTCTTGATGTACCCAATGTTTCTTCAAATTATCTTTAATGTCATGCATCCCGAGATCGAAAGGGGAAATGAAACACTGGATCTCAAGTCTATTGATCCAAGTGCCTTTGGCTTAATGAAATAGAAAAGAGATAAAAAATTTGTATTCGAAGGAAAATTTCCTTTGATTAAATTTGGAATATTTGCTGAAGATAATGATCATTCGGAATCAGAAAATCTTTCTAATCCAACAGAAACTGAAGATGTTGTGATTTCAATTTCAGAGCCAGAAAATAAAGAAGTTGATGTTTCACCTGCAGCGGCTGTGGCTGAGGAACATGATCACTTACATGATATAGATGTTGAAGGAAATTTTGATCGAGAGGCAGGAGATGAGGACTTCAGCGGTGATGATGATTTTCCGAAAGAGCTGGATTTTACTGGGATCAGTGATGATATCCCCTCGAGTATTGAACTTAATCTCGATGATGATGAGTTTGGTCCACTTCCGGGATTCGACAGCAGGTGCTTTAAAAAGGTCAATGAAGTTTCTCAACTAGCAACTGAGACTGGGGAAGATGTTAGTGCTCTCAAAATTTTGCTTTCCGCTTCAAAACCTATGGAGGTGTCTTCAGGTCCAACAGATGTGGTTTCAGAGATTCCTCCCTCTGTACCACATGTCTCTTCTTTTGCTCCATTCTTAAATGAATCGATACAGCCTTAAACCTTCTTGCCCCCCCTTGAAAATAAGACGATTAGATCCAACGCAGGGAGTTTCTACTGTAAGCCAAGTACCACCAGTCTCATCTACGGTTACCACCACCACACTCTCTACTCCACCAATACCATCCGAAGAAGGCCCGAGCACAATGTATGAAGTAGGTGGTTCATCGTCTATTCCAGACTCCTTCAAGACATTCATTGGATGAAGCTTCTATCAGGTTGGCCAAGCACCTAGCTCAGCACAGTCTAATTTCTTCATCTCACAGAAAAGGTATATCTTTGGATGAAGAACATTCAATTGATGATTTGACTTCAGTGTACAAAATTCGTGAAGGAATTGGCATTCTCAGACAAGCGATTATAGAAAAGAACATCCTGCTAGATCAACACGAGTCTTATATGGTTGAACTCCGAGAAAGAGATCAACTGAAGTTGAAACAGATTAAGGATATGTAGACAAATCTTGGTTCTTTAACAGATTTTTACTATGGACTGAAGAATATTATGTATGATGCTTTTGGTGACAAAGTCAAAGCTTTGGTTTAGCAGCCTCACGGAATTGTAGATCCTCCCGTGGCTCCCAACCAATCCACATATGACGATTTTCCAGTTGATCCACCTCCTCCAAGAACAACTACCGTTGTTAATCGGTTTGATAGAGAACCTGAAAACAACAGATCTCACATCAGAATCAAGCAAGGAAAAAGGACCGTCACTGCCAGCAAAAGTGATGGGTTACTTTTCATGAAAAACTCGAATGAAAATCACAAAGCTAAAGATCATGTTCTGACTGTGACTGATCTCAAAAAGAGAAAGTTTGGTGACGAGTATGGAGATCGATCTGGAATCCAAATGTGGGCTTTTGATCCCAGGTTGAATATGTGGGTCGTAAATAGGAACTCTGGTGTCCCTGAGTATTACAAAAGTGTTCATGATTTCAACTCGTGAACAAAATTTGATCTTGCTGAACCTTCAAGAGCCCCATTTCATAATCCTTCAGAAGATCCCATCGCGTCAAATTTTAAAAGATTTCTTGATGGGTAGGTTAAGGAAAACTTTCCAAAGATGAAGACTGCGAAAGCCCTATATGGAAAGGATAAGGATATTATTGATCCTGAATGAGGCCAGCCCATGAAGATTATCCTATGGACAGCAACGAAACAACTCAAGGAAATTCCTACCCCTCAACATTTTCATGAGGGATACCTTGACAATATGGAATTCTGGGCATTTGATGATGAAACTGCCACTGTTTCCATTAAATTCAAGGATAGAGAACAATTCTAAGGCTGATCAGTGCTAAGGATCTTCTCAGATTTAGAGAAAGGGATATTTGTTCTCTATGTCGTCACCAAATCATTTGCCGAAAAGATGTAATGGAGGCTCCTACTAAACAATTTACTAGAAAGGTCGCCACAATCATAAATGGATAACTTTGGATGGTATCCATGGGAAAGTCTGATTTGAAGCTGTTTAAGAAGCCCAAAGAATGAAGACCAAGTCTATGCTAGCCTCAAACCAAGGGGGAGATTGAAAGGCTATACTTTTGTGGTTTGGGATAGGCATTCTTTTTATATAGATCTTGGTAGCTTAATAGTATATGGTGCGATGGTATCTGTTAGATAAGCTTGTGTGTGTGTGTGCAACTACAAACGTGTGTGCGGCCGCACACTAGTGTGCGGCTATGGTTTGTATAAAAAGGCTGTGTATTTGTGTCAGAAGAGTGATGTCTGTATGTGTGTGTTCTCAAGGTTTACTTGACATTTATGAGCAATAGATGTGTGCATGTTTGATGTTATTCTTCTTATACTCCTTCTACACTATACACTCTACTTGATTGTTGATATTTCATTATTTAATGATTTGGATCCATCAGATTTGGGACTTATAATGTAAAAGATGTTGTTTCAAAATACAAAAATTCCAAAGATATCATAATTAATACATAACATTGTTACACGTAAATACCTAATGGTCTTGACCACTAATGCAAGTTGTCTGTTAATCACTCATCATCCTAAACATGTTGCATATACTTTATCCTTGTTACATATGATGCATTGAGTGGGGTAGGTTGGAATACCTGGTGAGATAGATAGGGTTTTCAATCCGAAGATATTATTATGATAATATTTTATAATTATCAAACCTACAAAACTAATTATTGTCAAATGATATAGATATATCACATAACTTAGATATCAATAAAACAATACTCCCTTAGATACTCATGCCAACTGATTCTGACAAATCCTAGTGTACGATTATCGGGAAGAACCAAGTCGCCTAATGAATCGTTTAATGTAAGAGTTTGACTGCACATCTAGGGACATCCCTAGATGTATAAGTTATAAAGGCACTTCTTTCATCAAAGTTTTTAATGAACGATGGTATCCCATTTTATCTTCGTTGGTGGTTTATAAATCCACACTATCAATGTAATTCACAAGACCATCAAAAATAATCAAGTGTTGTCATCTCACTTTGGAAGATGTTCCAGACATACTCTTTGCCTTTTTGATCTAGACCTACCAATACCGACTATCCAAAAAGAAGACAACTACTACACCTCACTTTAAATATCGCACTTTACCCGATTATGAGACTATTTAAATTTCCAACTTACTTCAATCTAAAATATCCTTTATAAGTCTTAATAGAAATTAAATAAGACTATAATGCTTATAATGGATTTCCAAATGATTTCCATGTTTGTACCTGTAACAACCCGAAGTTTTCCATCGTCGAAAACTTGTTCTACCCGTGATATTTCGTCGTTAGTCGATTCGTTTCGTTCTCGCTTCGGGTTAATTAATTAAAAATTATATGTTATTATAATTGATTGAGTGTCCAAACCTCTTGGAACTCATGAAATTAACCCAAAAAGTGTTCATTTCAAAAAGATAGAAACATTCCCGCCGGGTGACGGTAACTTAATCGGGTGCGACCTAAAGCCCTGTTTAATGTCGGTATCATGTAGAATTCCTCCGTGTCCAAGTTTTGGGAACTATATAAACGTGTTAAACCTTTCATTTGAAGCTTTTTCCTTCTCTCTCTACCCTCTCTCTAACCTCTCTCCTAAAATCCAAGATTTAGGGTCCAAAACTCAATTTTAAGGCCTCAAATCCTTAAGGTAATTTCCTAACCTCATTGTATAGCTTATTTGACTTCCAAATTCGAGACTTAACCATGAAATAGGACACAAAGTATGAGTTTATGGCCCAGGAAAGTGCCTAGGCCGTAAACACCAAAAAAAATGAAGGGTTTTGAGCCCTTAAACCCCTCCTTGACAGGTTTGGGACTTAGATATGGCTAAATGGCTTCAAGATATGGACCCTAAACAATTAAAACATGTACTTTGTGAATTTTGAAGGAGTTTACGGCCAAGGATCATTCTTGGGCCGTAAACTCATATATCTAGGGTTTGCATGCCCTTAAACCCTTCCAAACCACTCATATGTCTTAGTTATGAATTATAGAACATAGATCTTTGCATTTGGACACATGAAACACAATTTTTGGGGGACTAACATGAGTTTATGGCCAAGGCTTGTGCTTGGGCCGTAAACTCCATGAAACATGGTACAAATCCAATTCTAGGGTGTTTGAAAGCCATCCAGCACCACCAAAAGCCTTGGAATAAATCAAAGGACCAACCAAAAATAGTTTTAAGGCTTTACAAACATCAAAACCCCACATTTGAGAGTTTACGGCCATAGAACACGTCTCATGGCCGTAAACTCATAAAAAGGTGTCAAATGGTGCCTTAAACTCATTTCTAGGCTTGTGGGAATTTTTAGAATCACATGTGATTGATTTTAACACCTTAAAAACACTAAATCTTGGAGATTTGAGAGTTTACGGCCAAAGACCCCATGCCTAGGCCGTAAACTCCCTTATGTATTGTAAATGATGTTTTTAATTCAATCCAAGCCTTAAGAAGAATTCATCCAAGCATTTCCAAGTGTCCATATCCATTTATGACTCAATTTTGCACCCTAAACCACCCTACCATGGGTTTACGGCCGTAAACTCATGGGGAATGGGTGTTTTGGACCAAAAACTCTTGTATAAGTTTATTCAAGGGGAGTAAACTCAAGTCCCAAGTCCCTCGCATCATTACATGTCCCTAAACGCCACCCGGGTCCCTCCAAACACTTCTATTGGAGTGTTTTTGTGACTTGAAGCAATTCTCCCTATCCAACAATCAATCTAAGTCCTAATTATATACAAATGTGTATCTTTACATCATAATTAGGAACCTCGCGTGTTTACAAGTCCCGAACCAACACTTAGCATCCGAATTCGCCACATTTCTCGTCCAGTGAGTTCATACCCCTACCCTTTTTCAACTGTTTTCACTGTTTTCAGGGGGGGGGGGGGAATACAAGCAAAAGTACAAGGAAAACTTGTACTCAAACTTATTGTTTTCAGTTTAATCGTTTTCATTCTGTATGTTCTAATATCAATAACTGTGTTTATCAAATAGTTTGAATTACGAATTTATCTTTCAAACGAATCATAGATATCTCGATGAAATGCTCTAATATAAACTATGTTTCATAATCTACAAATAACTTACTAATTTCCAATGATAACTAATTACGAAAATGAAAACGAATACGAAGCTATAACTAGGAATAGAACGAATAAAGAAACTACAACTAGAAACAGAATGAATAACACTTCTATAACTAGAACAGAACGAATAACACATCTATAACTAGGAACAGAATGGATAACGAAACTATAATTAGGAACAGAATGAATACGAATACGAATACGACTGCGAATAGTATTAGGAGTAGGATTAGGGATAGGAATGCGACTACGAATACGACTGCGAATACGAATACGAATACGAATACGAATAGTAATAGGAGTAGGAATAAGGAAACGAATACAGTAACGAATACGAATACGAACATGAATAAGTACAATCATAACTAATTAAGAATAAGAACACGAATATGAAGATGTGAATCTAAGTACATTCCGAAATATTACCATTAGGATATCAGCATAACTAGATAATACAATAGGTACGAATGGAAATAAATCAGTATATCGAAGTTCAATAAATAACAATTACTTTTAGGAAAGTACGGGACTTTCCTGGGGAAAACAAAACATTACCTAATCACGTGTATATCTTTTACATCTTTAACATCTTTCACATTAGAAACCAACATGCAGGAAAGCATGGGGCTTTCCTGGGTAACACTTATATAACTAGAAAGAGTAACAAATTGAATAACATTACATATTTCACAACTAGTAATGTACAATTAGGAAAGTATGAGACTTTCCTGGGTTCATAGTTAAACATAACCAGAATCGTGTAACCTAACAATCAATTAACCTTCTCTCTTAAGAAAATATGGGATTTTCTTGGATAATAACTTTTCGATAAACAAAAGGAAACTCGTACATTTTCACAAAGCAAACATCTTATGAACTCACTAGCTTTATGCTGATTTTCAAATTGCTTGTATTCTCAGGTCCACATTAGACAGGTACCTAGCAAATCTTTTGGAGAAGACGGAGCGTACAGAAGACTCGTCTCTACTTTTGTTCATATATATTATGTATTACAAATGTACAACTTTACTTTTGAAAAAATGTAAACTTTGATATGTAATGTAATGGTTGCTTACTTTGCTTACTATGTAGATTGGATTTGATACTCAACTTGGAGTCAACCCCGGAGACGTTTCCGCCTTTGGTTTTCGGGGTGTGACAGTACCATACTATTGCAATACAATATATGACTATTCTTTTATACAATTTAACTCGAAATAAATATTCTTTACATCTTAGTTTAGAACATAGACGAGGCCACCATCTTGGTCATTGAGTTTTAATATTAACTCTTGTTTAAATGATAATTTTCGTAAATTAGTGTATGTTCTTAACAAATAATGTACTTTAACATGAAATAATCTTTA